GAATTCCTAATGTCTAATACCTTTGCTCTCAGAATCCTTACTCGTTGTATGTGTAGCTCAGAGTAGTTTCTGGCTATGATTTAGCTTTTATATTGCATCAGAAAAAAGTGTGCTGTATCCCTTTCAATATGTGTCTCTTTTCCCACCTCCAGGATGTCCTTACTGTTCACTATCATCTGATACCATCACCATCAAAGAGTAAAAATGGCAGCAAAGAGAAAGAAAAAGAACAGGAAAAAGAAAAAGATGTAAAAGAAGAATTTGCTGAAGCTTTAAGAGATCTAAAAATACAGTGGATGACTAAGTATGTCTGCTGTCATTGCTACACAAGCTTTAAGCAGCTTGAAGTTAAAAAAAATATTTAAAATCTGTACTTTTATGATGTATCCTCCTCTCTTCTAGGCTGGATACCACTGACATGTACAATGAGTTGAAAGAAGCATTTCCTAATCATCTTCCATTATATGTTGCAAGACTTCATCAGCTGGATTCTGAAAAGGTTATTTAACACTTCTTAAACTTGATGTCTCAATACATCCATATAACCTGAAAACTGAGTGTTTCTTTATATATATTGGAGTTGAAGGGACTGTACTCAGTACTGTAAAGCAGCAGTTCCTAGTCAGTGACAACTGCCTCCCTTAACTGGGGGTGGTTTACTTAATCCCACAGCAGAATGAAAGTATTCTTAACTATACTGTTTGCTTATCAGTTACTCCTCATTCAGTTAAACAAATTGTAAGTTTCCTTACTGGTTTAGTCTACAACATTATTATTCTGAATGGTGGTTATTGAGAAAAGCACACATCCCAATCTGTTCTTCTATTATATTGGTAATTTCTTCTAGCAAAATTGTTTAGACAACTGAGGATAGTAATCCCCTGAAATGACACAGCTAAATCAAGAGTATGTCCTCAAATGAGGACAAAATGAGAACTGTGAATAGAAAAGTGTGCATCTGAGTTTTTTATTTTGAAGATGGAGGCCTTAGTGTATATGTCACTAGCTTGAATATTTTTCTTTTCATTTGGTTCTGATTTTGTGTTTATTTCTGAATTGAATAGCTACTATCATTATTTAAGAGTATTGATTTGTACTGAAAGGTGATTTTTTTTCTATAAACTCTGTGTTTTCCATATGCCAACCTGATATTTTTCACTGTTTGTTTTCAAGTGAAGGGAACTACGTATGTAGGAAATCTTGCAAACTTTCCAGATTTCTTTAAGCAAAATTTGGAGAAAGGGGAGAACATGAACGGTTTAATTATCTAGTATTATTTCTGCATAACTTTGCAGTTATCCTAACGTAGTATGTTGTCCAGTGAAGCAGTGTGATTTCATAGAGCTGAACGTCTTTTTTTATTCTTCTTTTAGGAACGAATGAAAAGACTAGATGAAATTGTTGCCGCTGCAAATACTGTAATCTCTCATATTGATCAGACAGCATTAGCGGTATATTTTGCCATGAAGACTGATCCCAGGCCTGATGCAACTACTATAAAAAAGTACCTAACCAGTAAATACTTTTCTTGCATCCTATTTTTGTAATCTATGTACTTTGTCTCTGCATATAGGAAACTCAATTACTATAACTTTGATAACTTGTGGTATTTTTTGGGACACAGGTAATTTCAAATTTGAATATACAATTACTGTGTTTTCTTATTATATCTCCAGAATGCAGGAACACTGAAACCTGCAATTTTTCATTTATTCAATAAAATAAATGAGAGTGCTTTTAGGATTTAAATGTATCAGAAAAATAGATTATTAAAATTTTGTATCATGCTCAATCTAAGATCAGAGGGACCAACAGAATATTAGTAGAGGTTTGTTTTGAATGCTACATGCTTTTACTTTATATTTTGCAACCATTTGGATCTGTATTTGAAGACAAAATTGACATCAGCCAAAGAACTAACTGCTTTCAAAAGATTTCATTTGTGATAAGCATGATGACCATACTTGTTCTTCAGGGTATTTCTGAGATTCATTGTTTTTCTTTAGTTTTAGATGGTTCCTCTGAATTACCAGTGTGTATATATACCCCTAGGGAGACAGTGTTTTGAAGGTGACATCCTAGTTTGGAGAATAAGTGGTGGATTTTGCTGGAGGTAGTATGGTGCTGTTTTAGTCACAAACAGAGCAGCAGATTTGAAGATTAGGCCCTTGACATGGGAGAGGCACATTTGTTGATTATCTGTAAAATAGCATATTTCAGTTGTAAAGCTATTCTGTCTGTCCTGGCTATCCTGAATTCAGATTTGTGTATAATTTTAGAATTACTGTTGTAAAAGCAAAGCTATGACATAATGAACTCCATTCTAAACATTTCTTGGTAAGTTGACCCATTAGGTCATCTGAAATTGAACACCAGATTCAATGGTGCTTTAAATGGATGCAGTTCCTTTGAAGTCAGCAGAATTGTATCTGCTTATGTTAGTGGTGGATTCAACTCTCTCTGTTTATAATGCCAGGAACTATAAAACTGTATATCTAAATGCTAGCTTACTTTTAGAAGTCCGAGTTGCCCTTGCCTTAAGACATCAAAGGCATTTCAGACTTAAAAAAATGATTGAGTTTCTTTATTGTATAGTGTCTTAAGGTAATTTTTCATGATTATTTTAAGTTAACTAGCCTTGCTTTAAAAGTTATCTTTGTGCTTATTTTCATTTTGCCTATACTAACTACTGTAAACTCAATCAGCACTGATTCTGTTCTTAATGAGGTATCTGCAAAAGTTCTAAATATTTTTTCATGCTAATTTTCTAGTGAAATGGAAAAACAGAAGAGTACTTTAGTAGATGCACTTTGTCGAAAAGGAAGTGCGCTGGCTGACCAGCTGCTTCATCTGCAGGCCCAAGAAGGGGCTGCTTCCAGTGATACAGAAGGCAAAGATGAGGATCATGAGAGCTGCTCAGAAGCTTTGACAGAGACATTCTGGGAAACAACAAAATGGACTGATCTTTTTGACAGCAAGGTAAGAGACTAGAACAGAGTTTTTTTCATTTGCATGTTTGGGTTTTCTGATAGTTTCTCCTGGAATTACGCACTGCCTTTGTGTGCACAGCCTTGTACATTCCTCCCTTCTACTTTATTGTGCTGTCCCCATATGTTGTGCTTCCTAAATGACCTTTTTCCACAGAGATTCTGCCAAACCTATCAAATCCATGGTAAGCCCATCTCTGTGCATGTGAATGTAGAGGTTAAGGGAAGGGTTTAGGACAGTACCAGTTTTACATGAAAAAGCTACTTGCTTTATTGAATTCCTTCTTTCTGTACTTTCCAGGGAATATTTTTGATTTTAATTAACCTCTGCACTGTTGTAGCTGTGCATACAGAAGTGCGCAACATCCCTCTTCTGTTCAGTCCTGCATGCTGTAGCCTCTTCCACACTATGGACAAGAGAAGTTCTGTGTTTTGCTGTCAGTAGTATCTGTAGAGATAGAGGTAGAATCCTGTTTTATTAGCACAGAATTCCTTGACATTTCAAGGTTCCCGATCCTGAGACTTGAATTTTTGTCTGCTTCATTCAAGACAGTTATTCCAGAAGGAAAAAAAAATCATTGTAAGTGGTTAGTTATGTAGCTTTTAATTCGTAGAGGTTATGACTTTATAGTTTTAGCTGTTGAGCTATTGATATTAATTAGTTGCTGTACTTAAATGTCAAGTGTGACTGTTTTAGTGGAAGATGAAGTGACCAGTATTTGTTTATAATTGAGTAAAATTACAAAAGCACTTTGAGTAGTTTTTCTTTTTAACCTTTGAAAGTGGAAAAAAAAAAAAACAAAGCATTTAACTTCCTTGGCAGTAAATAAACTTTACGTAAGAACTTGTGCTTTAGGTGGAGGCCTGAACAAGGAGTTTGATGGTGCTTACTCTTGTTTTAGTGTATTTGTCCTTGTGCCCATACATCTTTTCAGCATACCTCTTCTACTCATTAACTGATTTTAATATCCTGTGGTAGCAGATTTTGTGCTTTAATCATATTCCTTTGTACATGATTTTCTTTCTGTCTGTTTGTAAATGCAGTACTTTGTTCCAGTGTAGTAACTCCTGGCTTACTTCTGTCTTTTGATTTTTATTTTTTAAAGCTGATGGGAGTTTCAGGGGGAAAATGCCAGTATAGACATTTTGTTGGGAGTTTATCACTCTTTGTTAATGGCTTTTTTTTTCAAGACATGTAGTGATTCCTGTTATTGTTAGTACTCAGGGTGGCACAAGCTGCCTTTCACAAGAGGCCAGTGTTTATTGGTCCTCTGGAATCCATCGCGGGGAGCTCTTTGGTTAGCATAAAGCACAGGCAAAATCTGGTGGTCTAGTGGTTAAGGATGTGGTGCTGTCACTGCCAAGGCCCGGGTTCGAATCCTGGTCAGGGCCCCTCCCCGGGCAGATGGAGCTCGTTAGCCCTGTAAGGCAATCCATCTACGTCCTGAGGACCTCGCTGCCACCGTCCAAGCTCGCTTGGCCCCGGCAGATGAACCTCAGGATTAAAGGGTGGGCTCAGTTCCGTGCACACTGTGTCTCACCTAAAAAATCCAGTGCACAGGCTGGAAGGTGTAAAGACCTTCCCTGGTTCTTCGTTCACGAAGACTGGCCATTACTTACTTACTTATTGTTGAGCTGAATGCTCTGGGTCTGGAATAAGTAACTGATTTCAGTTCTACAGATTAGGAACTTGAACCTTTCTCTTTCACTGGCTTAGCCATGGATTTGTCTAAGTGCACATTCAGGTTTTTCTCTGAAAATTTATGCTTTGGTATTGTTAAATTGGTACTGAAAAGCCAACAAAACTGTTTTACATTTTTGTAGCATTTCATATGGAAATTACTTCCATCCTGTTTATGTAGTATGTTTGTCTTCTTTTTCTTCTTGGTTTTACTACTCCAGTTGAAATCTAAACTGATTAACAGTCATGAGACCTACAGAGCTACTTGCTCATTTCCCTGGGATGGAATGAGGGAGAGAACTGGAAGAGTAAAAGTGAGAATTTTCAGGGTGAGATAAGGACAGTTCCAACAGGTAAAGGAAAAGCCACGCACACAGGCCAAACAAAGCAAGGAATTTGTTTGCCACTACCCACGGGCAGGCAGGTGCTCAGACATCTCCAGGAAAGCCAGGCTCCCTCGTATGTAACTGTGACTTGGGAAATCAAATGCCATCACTCCAAATCTCCCCCATTCCTCCTTCTTCTCCCAGCTTTATATGGTGAGCCTGGCACCATACAGTATGGGATATCCCTGTGATCAGTTGGGGTCAGCTGTCCTGGTTGTGTTCCCTCCCAGCTCTTTGTGCATCCCCAACCTGCTCACTGGTGAGGTGGGGTGAGAGGCCTTGACTCTGTGCAAGTGCTACTCAGCAATGAGTAAAACATCCCTGTGTTTTCAGCCCTGTTTCCAGCACAAATCCCAAACCAGCTACTATGAAGAAAATTAGCTCTAGCTCAGCCAAAACCAGCACAGAAATAAAAGAGGAGGAAGGGTAGAGTGGAGTAGTCAAGTCAGAGAAGGGACATACTTTGTGTGAATGTCCTTCAAATGAGAGTCCTCAAGAGG